CTACTACTACTACTACTACTACTACTTCTACTACTACTACTACTTCTACTTCTACCACTACTATTACTACAACAAGAACAACAACTATTACTATTACTACTACTACTACTACTGCTACTCCCAACAATACTACTCTAACCTCTTTTGCTGGTACTGCAGTTCAAGTGTTTATTATAACCTCTGTTACAAGATCTGCTGCTGCCACTATTTTCCTGCTTGCGTCTCCAGGAAAACTTGGTAATTTTGGAAAGATTTCACATTCCAAATCAATGAATACTTCGTCAGCTGTCACGTTTATCGCTTTTTTCACTTATAGGACACTACACTCAAATGATGTGGGCGTCAACCACAGAAATTGGAACAGGCGTTGTATTAGATGAGCGTCCACACCGATCGGTGGTTGTCTGTTTCTACAGCCCCGCCGGAAACGAGCTTCGAGGCTACGCCAAAAATATTGACATTTTTAGAAATTAATTGCTTGCCTGTTCCACCTTCAAACCCCTAACTAGAAATATTGGATTTTCCCCAGAATGCGTTTTGCCCTGTTCATAATCACAGCTTTCGCCAAATCCCTATTTGTTAAATTTGGATGAAAGAGCTGGAAAACGGGTTTTGGATACAATCAACCTATCTCAACAGCCTACGTTTAAAATTCGTCAAAACGACTTACTTCTTGGACCCCTAGCGCTTCTAGATTACTTCGGGCAAGGGCATGCTGGTTGTTGATTGGTCGATTCTTGCGCAACAATCGCCTCGTGAAACATTCTCTAATATTCGGCCTACCAGTGACTGAACACCGTGTTTGAGCGAAGGTATCGCGCGTTCTGCAGAGTGAGATAGCCGACAAAGACAAGAGAGACTGGACTGGCCATTTCTGGCTTCTTACCCGCCCAAGGTCAACCCCGGCATTGCAACCTCCGAGGCCTAGCACTCTAACAACTGAGACACGGGCTTGTTAGCCTATCGGTTGCGAAGAGGCATATTAACTGTGTTAAGGGGCCTACCTGATCCGTTTTGCCTTTGGGCTCGATCTGGAGTCCTGCAGTCAGTCGCACAGCGACCAACTCATGTAATGTCAACTGAAATTCCGAAATACATTTTTGTTTCGAAAAGATTAATTATGCAGGGTTGTAAAACTAATCAGTCCGCAGTAAAATTCTATAATAATTCAGTTACCCCAGGATGCCGGCTTTCAAACGAACTTCTTAACGGCTGCATGCATAAACGCCACTCTGCAAAATGTGACTACGTAGGTAGCATGAATTTGTCTCACTGAATTTTGATGTCCCTAAAAGTCCAGTTATAGTTCATGAAAAAAATGCATAAGCATATTCATTCTTCCACTCATTCGGTGGAAAACTATAGCTTCTTCCAATTTTCTACTAGCAGGAAAGCTGTTTTTCAGTTTAAAAACTTTTCAAATTCCCTATTTATTTTAAACCCGCTCTGCTGTCACACTTACAAGCCATGTATTTTCCGCGTACGGAAATCCATACAATTTTTACGGCATTAAGAGGAAACCATATGGGGTTCATTAAATGTAGCATTCGATTTGATCCATAGTGTTAACTTTACAAGTCACATTGATAAAATGCAGAGATATGGCGTTTTATGAACGGTCACTGCACAATATTAAAAGTTTAAAATATAGAAACTTTGTTTAAAACCGAATGGTACCCTCCCTTACAGTATAAAATTAAAAAAGGACGTAATTTTTGGTCGAATGGGCAGAAGTATGAATATATTTATGTATGGTTCCCATGAATTATAATTTGACTTCTAGGGGCATCGAAAATCAATGAGAGAAATTCATGTTACTTAAGTAGTCATTTTTTACAGAGTGTAGTTTTTGCATGCAGCCGGAAAGAAGTTCGTTCGAAAGCCGGGATTCTGAGGCAACTGAATTATTATAGAATTACACTGCAGACTGATAAGTTTTACAAACCTACTTGATTAATCTTTTTAAAACGAAAACGAATTTCGAAATTTCAGTTGAATTTTCATGAGTTAGCCCACCTACTGTATATACAGAATGAGATAACTACGAAGGAGACCAGAGTTACTCTTTCTGGCTTAGGGTCCATTATCAGCGTTTCCACTGGCGCAGCACACGCTGATTGGATGCCTGGTTTCTTGCGCGAATTTCGCGGTCGGGTTGGTCTGCAGTGCCATGTGTAGTCAAGTCTTCCTTTAACCCTGGACCGTGAATCCACTCCGTCTCCGTTCCCATAAAAAAACTCCTTCTCTTCCCCCCCTCTCTCGTTCACAGTGCATCGCTGTGGTTAGACTCGGTTTTAATGCCCTGAAGGTATGATTATCACACTCAATATCACGAGATATTGAAGGGTGCAGACAGGCTGGAGGGCATACCGCTGGTATCTTTTTCTTCTGTCTTGCGTGACCACTAGGTCAACAGATGGCGCGTGTTTCCATTAAGCATCAGGTTTTTTACCCACAAAAGCACATGCTTCGAAGTCTAGAAAAGTGACTTATGAGTAAATCATAAGAAGAAAAAGAAGCGATCGCTGGAACAAGGATTTTATTCGCCTGAGGTTTCGGATTCTCACTCGGACCCATCATCAGAGACAGAGGCGGAAAAGGGTGACTCGTGGACAGGAAGCTGCAGTATTCAAAGGATGCGGTCGCTATGCTACCGCATACCTATGATAATTAACTGAACTCCCCCTCATCAAGAATTGTTGCCGGCTGGTATGTTAATTGCTTGATGGCCGGCATGCAAGCTGTTGCCAATAGAAGCGAAGAGACGTACACAGAACGTTCTACACGTTCGACGGGGCAATCTACGAACAAGTGAAGGGCACACCAATAGGTTCGCCAATTTCGGGGTACATCGTCGAGGAGGTCCTGCAACAGTTAGAATCGCTGGTCTTCCAACATCACAAACCAAAGTTCTGGGCCCGGTTTGTGGATGATACCTTCGTCGTCATCGACCAGGATCAACTACGGACATTCAAGGAACATCTGAATGCGGTCTTCCTAACATACGATTTACGATGGAGGAGGAAGAGAACAACCAACTGGCCTTCTTGGTTTTCCTCGTATGCCGCAAAGATTTAGATGGACAAAAGACCAAAGTGTTCAAGAAAGCGACAAATACGATTCAAGTAGAAAACTTAAACGGCAACCACCAAATCAGCCACAAACGCGGTTGTGTATGGAGGCTCAATCGGCGTATCGAAACGCATTGCAGTGAGCCAGAAGACAAGATTGCCAAACTGCAATACCTCCGAAGGGTCTTCAAAGCCAATGGCTACCCGCACAAATTCGTCAACCGGTACAGACAAAAGGCAAAACCGCACGGACTCCACATTTTGCAGGGCGCTTCAGTATGTCAAGAACATTTCGGAAGCTGTCGGCCGCCTTCTCGGACCACTTGGGGTTGGAGTTGCTCACAGGCCGGAGGCAACCATCAGGCGTCAGGTAAGGAAACCGAACGAACCGCTTCCACGGCTAGAAACGTACGGAGTTGTTTATCGGATCTACTGCCGTTGCGGACAAATCAACTACGTCGGAGAAACCGGACGACAGCTCCGAACGCGAGTGTCCGAACCCGCTGCAGAAGTGCGGAGCAATGACTGCGACTCTCAAGTTACGACGACAAGATCCGGCTACACATTCAACTTTTACGAGGTGGAAATCCTCGCTAAGGATGCCAACCGCGTGAGCCGGAAGCTACTGGAATCATGGTTTACTGGCCTCTAGTCCATTAATAAGTGTAACGACTGTCCCCTTCCATACTCGGTGCTGAGACTTCGTCTAGGCGAAGTAATTAGCCACGCGGGAGCGCACAGGCAAACACATTTCCCAAAGCCAGGGTTTATGAGTCAGATGGTAGAGCAATCATCACACCAACATCCAACATCCGTGAGAAAAATGCAGCAATTAACGACGCGAATGTCGACCATAAAGCAGTCATCGCAGCACGTGCAACAATCCATGATGAGGTAGGGAGCCGTAAATATTCACAGGTATGCGGTAGCGTGGTGACTGCATCCTATAAAATACTGCAGCCCCTTGTGCATGAACCACCGGTATCTGCTTTTGTCTCTGATGATGGGTTCGAGCAGAAACCCGAAACGTCAGGCTATTAAATCACTTGTACCAACGATCCTGTCTCCTTCTTCAATGCAAGTTGTTAATCGCTGAAATCTCATTGCCCGCGTTGGATGCTGGCATAATGATTGCTCGGCCATCTGGCTTACCGACTTGAGCGCTCCCTGATTGGTCAAGTTCTTTGGCCAGCCTATGCCTCAGCACGAAATATGGAGTGGGGATGTTGATGCACTTGTTGATAGACTGAGGTCCAGCGAATGATGACTCAAGCACCTCGTGGCTCACGCGATTATCTCCTCTCGAGAGAATTTCGGCCCCAGCGAACTTGAATATGTGGCCTGGTCTCGTAAAATGGGTCGCGACTTGAGAGTTGGCGTCATTTCTCCGCACCGCTGCCGTGTGTTCGGCTATTCGCGTCCAGTTTCTCCGATGTAGTGGCTTTGTCCTCAACCGCACCAGATCTGGTAAACGACTCCAGACACTTCATGACCTGGCAGTGGGTCCTTTGGTCTCATTACTTGACGCCTTATGGTGGTCTCCTGTCTTTGTGCAACTCCAGCCTCAAGGGATGCGGGAGGGTGACAAACGGCCTCTGAGATGTCCTTGATGTACGGTATCGCTCGCCAGAATTTGGGGTCGGCACGATTTTGCCGCTCTTCTCGTTTGCGCACGCACCTTTTAACGAGGTTGCGCGGGTAACCATTTTCTCTGAAAGCCCGTCGAAGATAGTGGAATTCGGCAACATTGTTTTTCGGTTCACTGCAGTGCGTCTTAATACGCCGATATAGCGTTCTCACGCAATTGCGTTTGTGACTGATTGGGTGGTCGTCGTTGAAGTTCACTATTTGCGTCGTGTTCGTCTCTCTCCTGAACACTTTGGAGCCACCACAATCTTTACGACAGACGAGGACATCCAAGAATGCCAGCTAGTTATTTTCCTCCTCCTCCTCCTCCTCCTCCTCCTCCTCCTCCTCCTTCTCCTCCTCCTCCTCCATCGTGAATTGTATGACCGGGAAGACGCTGTTTAGACGTTCATCGAACGTTAGCACCTGATCCTGTTCGATGACGGCAAAGGTATCGTCCACAGACCGAGCCCAGAATTTCGGTCTGTGGTGTTGGAAGACCAGCGACTCTAACCGTTGCAGGACCGCCTCGGCTATGAACCCCGAAATCGGCGGGCCCATTGGTGTGCCCTTCAATTGCACGTAGATTGTTCCGTCAGACGTGACGTACGTCCTGAGACAGAACTTTAAGAGCTAAAGAACTTGGGCCCGTCCGAGACGATTCTCCGTTTCATTGTACTTGCTTCAGGGCCCACCTTTCTCACGCATCTGCTGTTTGTTTGTCGTGGTCTGTCCTGTCGCGTCAGCCAACCTAGTCTGCCGATCTCACTTTCTCCCTGTTCGATTCGTCTGACGACGGGTCGGTGTCATCGACTTGAACATTTACAAGTACAACTCGATTTTCCAAAGAGCCTTCTTTTCATTATACGTAGGCATCATAAGAGATATACTTTGAATCAAATACGATCGTTCAGACAAAGCTTTTTTTCGTTAATCTTCGACAACGGTCCATCATGTCGGCGCTAGACGCAGAAAATTTTCTCCGAAAATAGCTACTAGTCCATGTGCTTGGAATACATTTATATCTGTTTAACGTTTGCGTCAGTGAACGGTCAACGTGTGTTCTGATTGGCTCTCGTCTTTTCCATTTATCATTGAGATTTTGTAAGCGACATTCAATCCAATGTGTCGGTTGATGCAGGCTTCATCCAAGTGTATGACTTTTAGGAATTATTGGCATTCGTTGGAAGCGTAGACACCAAAATGTCACTTTTGTTGCCAAACGAACTTATGCTTCATGTTCAGCGCATGCATAGATGGTTGAGACAGGTGGTCCTGTCTCTTTACTATCGACTGATGTTCGGGAATGCGTTTGGAGACGGGTTTGTACGTTTGACAGCAACAGACTGCACTACGGGTCTCATATGGAATCTTGTAAACGAATTCCTTCCTATCCGAATAGCTAACGCTCCCCTCAGGGTGTACAAACTGCGTACGTAATGCAGTCGTCGGCTTGTGTGCACAGTGCATTTCCTGAGGTCCCACCCATGTGAAAGAGAGTTCGTTAAATTTTTAGTTCGGGTGCCCGATTGGAATTACTTGGTTCTTCCTCTTTCAAATCTTTCTGTCTCATGCATCGATATACACAATTTTTTAAATGCACGCTTTCCCACAATATAACTCGCAAAATTAATTTAATTCGAGTCGGTGGTCTACGTCGACAGAACAGTGTTTTTGCCCGACTAAGGGGTTTGTTGCCAAAACTCGACTTATGAAAGACAGGATGATTACTCTCGCAGTTTAAGGTGACTTCCGCATGAGGTTTTTTGCGGTGCACTGATATGTGCAGGGTTTCGCCAGTCTTTCGCTGCACGAGAAAATCTAGAATCGGGATTTTCCTGCCAACTTCCTCTTTAATTGTGAATTTAATGTCTAATGTGATGAACTCCAAATTCGTAAGGGCGTCAAATTAATAGTGATTTGAATGATTGTATTTTAACCTCGTTAAGGGTGCATTCTACTTTGTTATCATATGGATTCTTGCGACTAGATTTACGATCCTTTAGACAAATAAAACCTTATATATCCAACATATATGTGCTGCTTTAAGTCCAGAAAAGTGAAATCTTACTGTGGCCGATAATATAATTCATAGTTTCTCTCTAGTAAAGATGCTACAGTGACAATTCAACATGTCCATGCTGCTTCTGAGGATTTACGAAACTCCGGTTGAGTACTCTTGGGGGCTTCCAAATAGATTAAGAGACATCAAAATTTCTGCTGATTAGATAATAATCTCATTTGATGTGTTCTCTATCTTCATGTCCATGGCGCTGAATGCACCAAAACATTGCACAAACGGAGTACTACAGTCGTTCCACACGAATGTTTCCACAACTGCGCAGCTTTTACTCATAAGCCTTTATCTAGAAATTAACTTCTCATTTAAGCAACAGTACTACAAACAAATTAGCTAATACCTGTGTGGTTAGTACGGTAAATCACTGCACAGTTCTATACTACTGGCTGCCTGTTGGCGGTTTGTGAATATTAAGCGGTTATTCAGCAGTAGCTGATGGATTTCAGCTCAAATATTCATATCAAAATTTGGAGCGTGCCTGAAAAGGCCCGTTTCGAAAGACTAACTCCAAGTTCGCGCATTCATTTCCTCGGAAATTAAACAAGGCAAGTTGAAACTGGAGGTCATATACCAGAAAACACACGGGAAAAGCTGGGGGACCCACTGACGAGCCGAACCCCTCACAGCTGCGTCAGGCAGCGGCATAAGATCGGCGAAACACGCGTGTCTGGGATTTTAGCCAATACCTGTTTTGTTAGTACGGCAAATCATTACACAAATTAAAGAAGTCCCTATGGGGCTACCGCTCTCGGGTTTTCTCGCTGATGTCACAATGCAGAAACTAAAGACCTCGGCCCCTCTCTTACTTAAATCTAAACTGTGGCTACGATGTGAAAATGATACAATTGTGATCGTCCGAAAGATTCAACTCAACAATTGCTGGGATTTAATTCACACTATAAAGCTGAATTTACAGAAGACTTACTTTCTTAGATTTTTTCATGCAACGAAGGCCTGAAAAAACTTTACGCATATCGGTGTACAGCAAAAAACGAATATGGAGGCAATCATCCTGTCTCTTAAAAAAGTAATGCTGTCAACGGCCTGCTCAGTCGAGCTAAACACGCTGTTCTGCCGAAGAAGTATATTGAGCCGAATTATATAAACTGTGTGAGTTGCTTTCTGAGAGTGGGCGTACCTTTAGGGCCGATCGAAAGTGGCTTCCTCAATATCACTCGATCCTGCACTAGTAGTTGCCACAAAATATGACTTGGATTAAGCAATGTATGAGTTATAACGTTGCCGTATTTGACGTAAATCATGAATAAGTACTTCAGTCATTCTTCTGCCGTGTCACGCCAAAGTCTCCCTTGCCAGGGTTGAATTCACAGCCGGCTGACAGGTGACAAATTTTGGAGTCAATTGATTATCAAGGCAGCGATGAAGAAAGTGCAGTTGGGTTTATGTGAACACAATCCTTAGGGCGAATTTCTCTCAACAGCGTGCTTCAGGGAGCAGTGAGGGCTCGAAAATTGAGCTAAGGTTAGCAAACGTAAGAGATCCGGGTTGATAAACGGAGGTAAATGAAGTGCTCACCGGATCAAGGGGATGGTATTGCTGACGTTTCGGAAAGCTTGATCGGCTGTCCATTATCAAAGTGTTTAGTGCATAGATCGATCAGAAGTTCAAATAGATGGCTGAATTGGTTTATCTTAGGCTGATCGATTTTCTTCTTTCGCCGCCTTGGCCTTTGACTGTCGTTTGTGAAGGTTGGAGGCCTCCTGTGTTGTGTGCCGTCACCTAAATTAGGGTAAGTTTCGTTTCTGCCCCCTTTTGCATGAATCAGTCGACGGGCCGTGTTTGCTCGGTATTCTTTAGCTCGGTGTGACGGTCTTGTCCTGGTCATGGTGTAAGTAATAACGTAGGACTTTATAGGCCGCAGGAATGTCTAATGCCCTTTGATGGAGTTGGCATCTGATAACCAAGCCTCTAGTGTGAGACATTCTGTCCTTGATGTGCCCGGCCTAAAACGGTTGATCTTTGAATGTCAACAAAAGTAATCCAACACCCAATAACATACTGATAACAGCAGTTGTATATCAAATACGTTGTAAGGACAGCGACTGCAACTACGTTGGGGAAACCGGGCGGAAACTGCAGACCCGCCTACATGAGCACAAACTGGTAAGCCTCGAGTGTGAGACGTGCTGTCGTTGAGGTTGGCCCTTCATGTTTCATCGATTATCAACCGGGGTCTCTTGCGTTTGCTAACTTGACCTCAATTTTCGAGCCCTCACTGCTCCGTGCAGCACGCCGTTGGAAGAAATTTGCCCTACGGACTGCGTCAACACAAGGGCAACTGCACATCCTTCATCGATTCCTTGATCATCAACTGACTTCAAGATATTTTACCTATGAATCGCTTGTGAATTCAACCCTGGCAAGGGTGACTTTGGCGCGACACGACAGAAGAATGACTAAAGTACTTATTCATGATTTACACCGAGTACTGAAACTTAATAGCCTAGAATTTGTTTAATCCAAGTCATATTTCGTGGAAGCTACTGGTGAAGGATATTGCCTGTGAAATATTTGTGTGTAAGCGGAAAAGAGGCTTACTTGAAATCTAATGATTGTCAGTATGCATGAAGCTTCAAAAGGTCTGGTATTTAATAATAAGGTGTTCAGTTGCATTTGGATTTATGGTTAGATCGCAGTTGGTGGCTAGGCACCGTATTACAGGTGGCTGGGGTTTTGTGGGCTTACATAATCACATCTGACATATTTGGCTTCCGTTTTACGTCTGAGGTTAGGATTAGGGTACCGGTTAATGGTTTCCGATTTTCGGGTTAGGGTTATGTCTTTAGACGTAGGTTTTCGGGTTACGGTTAGAGTTTGAGCGTATGATTAGGTTTAAGTATTACGGTCAGGTTTTTCAGTTATGGCTACATCTAAGGGCTATGGTTACGTTTACGATTTCGGTTAGGGTTAGGGTTGCCGTTAAGGTAAACGTTTAACGTTTAAGTTTGAGGTTAGGGTTAGGGCTAAGGCCGCTATCCGCTTTCCCATTCCTGGATACCAACTGCGATCTTGCCGGATTTATCTTAATAAACAATGTCAAAAATACAGTTAATGCATGGTGTTTTGGTATGTCTTTCCCGTTAAGATTAATTATCTATATCAGACAAATCACAATTATGTGCGCACATTTTCTAGGGAGTTTTTAACGTAGGAAATTGTGTGAGCACACTGAACATTATTTTCCGGTAAATTTCGCAAATGTGTTCCTCGAGAAGGTAAATGACGAATATACTCTGCTCGAAAAAGAGGCTTCTGGAAAGTTTTTGAAATGACTACTTAAAATGCACAGTGTTTGAGGTATCCCGAAATGATATGTTTCACCATCTCTCCCCCCCGCTACACTTGGGAGGTGATGATCGACTGCCGTTGCAGGCCACATCGATGTGCGTTTACTCATTCACTTGGCCCCTGTGGAGCGGGATGCCGTAGCCGTACAAAGAGACGACTAGAAAAGAGAGTG